AAATAAATCCTATAATGAGTGAAAGGATTATTCGTACAAGGCAAATTTCAGATTTTAAAACATTTAAATTCCTTTAATACTCTAGATTATACAAGTAGAATATTCTAGAATGTTTTAATAATATTATCAGTAGTTATTTTTATTCTAAAATATACAAACAGAACATGTTGTAGTTGTTATTCGTGCAAGAAGGTTTTCATCATGGCAAGAAGTAAAGAATTGACACATTCGCAAAAAGAACTGATTGTTAAGCTCTGGAAAGAAGGTAAAAGTTACAGGAAAATCTCAGACAACTTGAATATTCCATTTACTACCATCAGTTCATTCACTGAAAGGTATAAAAAAACTCAAAACTGTTGAAGACCAAAGAAGAACAGGTGCTCCAAGGAAGATTACTTCAAGATCTTCGAGGAAATTAATGCGTCAAATTTAACAAAATCTAATGGCTACTCATCAAGAGTTGCAGGATGATTTACTTTCAACAGGAATCTGTATTACTAAACGGACAATAAGCAGTGAAATTCATGGGAACAATCTAAAATCACACTCCCCAAGGTAAACGCCACTGATATTGAGATGTCAGGTTGAAATTCGTTCATTACATAAGAATAAGGAAAAATCGTATTGGGAAAGAGTATTATGGACAGACGAAACCAAAATTGAATTGTTTGGACGTAATTCTAGAAATCATGTATGGAGGAAAGATGGCGAGGCCTTAAAACAAAGGAACACAGTTCGAACAGTGAAATTTGGTGGTAGCAGCATCATGATTAGGGGATTATTTTTTTTTTTTTTGCAAAAGGGTGATGGCAACATATCGGTAATAGATGGTAGAAAGAATGTCACAATATCAAAATATTTTGGAAGCAAATTTAATGATTTCGGTTAAGAATCTTGAACTTTCTCCTGATTGGAACTTCCAACAAGATAATGATCCTAAGCACACTGCAAAATCTATGAAAGAAATGGCTTGCTAAAAATAATGTATATCTCCTGAAATGGCCAAATCAGTCCCCAGATTTAAACCCAAAAGAATCTTGCGTTATTTGAAAATTCAAATCCAATCGAGACCTCCAACAAATATCCCGGATCTGAAGACCATATGCGATAAAGAATGGAACAAAATACCAACTAAAATTTGCAAATCATTGACAACTACAAAACGATGTTGGTTGCTGTAGAAGTGAATAATAGCTATTCTACAAAGTATTAAATGAAGATTATATATTGTTTTTGTATTATACGAATACTTTTTTTTCACCCATTACCAAAAGATGAATGGGATTTACTTCTATCAAAACAACATTTTTTATTTTTTCTATGCATATTTAGTTATTATGCATCTGTGTACAGTTAATTATATGAAAAGTATGTTTATTCATTAGTTGGAAATACGATAAATTAAAAATTCGTATGTGTACGAATATTTGTTTCTTCCGCACTGGACATTCCCAAAAATGACTGGAACCTGCAATAGCAAGTAAAAAATAGAACAATTATAATAATACATTACAATTAAAGTTATGGTAATTATTTACATTATTTAGATTGTTCGGACTGTTGTCCTCATCTTTATTAGCATATTTACGACGTTTCAGCCGTTGTACGCTCCGGTCTTCTTCAGGTGATTGGAACTTTGAACTTTATTTCGTTCACCGGGGGAGAGTGTTCTAATTCCACGTGCCATGCTTCTTCCGGATGTCTCAGTTATCTCCCTTTAACTCAACTCTCCAAGTTTTTGTCCAGCGACATCCGTATACCGCAAGCCAACATTCATCGGACAATACTTCAACTTCAACTCCTACCACCAATACAGTATTAAGAAAGGGGATGTCCGCTGCTTGCAACATCGAACAAAAGTCGTAAATGGCAACCTAGATACATATGAACAAGAAATGTTCAGTACAAGCAGTACCCTAAAAAGGAACATCTACCCTGGGTACATGGCAGCAGTTCCGACAAATCGGGATAGAAGGGTACAAGATTATAACAACATTCAGAAAACAGCTTCTGTCTGCCTACTTTATATGAAGGGATTATCAGAAAAAACAAAAGATCTATGGTCCATATAGCATCAGAACGACCTTCAAAAGTGGTTCAACACATCGCAGAATCTCTTCCGAGTAAGAACCCCACACATAGAGAAGAACATTACGAAGGACTGTGTGTACGCCATCCCGTGTAGCTGTAGTAAGAAACAGGCTCCCCCCTTAAGGTAAAGACGTAACACAAAGGGGAAATAGAAAAATCAGGCGTAGCTGACCACATATGGGGGAAAAGGAGATCACCCACTTCCTCCGTGGAATGAGGTTGAAATAATAGACAGAGAACATCATTGGAAAATACGAAAACGTAAGGAATCGGCACATATGCTAGGCTACAAAAATCTACTAAGCCGGCCAAGCATAGAAATGAACAGAATATGGGAACCAGTAACACGGAGTGTTAGAGAAAAGCAATAATAATAACAACAAAATTGCAATATGAGCTTTGGTAAAAAATGATTACTGAGATATATAGTCCCCAAAATTCATACAGTGATGTCCTCAAGGACACATGACCCAATGGATAAAAGCGTTGGTTGGATCAATGACGACTCAAGGAGTTGTGAGTTCAATACCTGAACAAAAACTTGGAGAGTTGAGTTAAAGGGAGATAACTGACATTCGGAAGAGGCGTGGCACGTGGAACTAGAAGACTCTACCCCGGTGGTCGAAATAAAGGGTTCAGTTCGAAATTCCAATCAAGAAGGCAGGAGTGTATAACGGCCGAAACGTTGTAAATATGGCGATAAAGATGAGAACTACAGTCCGAACAACGTAAATAATTACAATACCTCATCTCCGAAATATAGACAGATATTACATATTGTATATTTTATATATTATATATTGTTCTTAAGGTTATGTACTGTAAAGTTATGTATTGTATACTTGTTATGTATTTGTCCTTACCGCAGACGTTAACAATCTCAGCATACGACTTTTTTGTTATTAAGTAAAGAATTTCTTCTTCTTTTTCTTTTTTTTTTTACTTAAGGGAAGCAATTTACAGCTTCTCTTTAGCGTATCTGAATTGCCAGAATAAATATTGTTGCACTTTGAGACAATTATTAAGTAAAACATGAAATATTTCTGGAGTTGAAAGCGCGTAACTGAAATTGTTGATATCTCCCTTATCAACAATTTCAGTTACGTGCTTTCAACTCCAGAAATATTTCATGTTTTACTTAATAAACCACTTTAATATTAGAAGTTTACTGAGATAAAGCATTATCATGAGCAGAATCTTTCCTGAAAATCCGCTTTTTAGTTTTCAAATTCTGACTTCTACATAATTCTTTGTTATTGAGAAAAAAACTCTTAAAATTTGAGAACCATTCCTGAGACGTGTTTGCATCGACTGCATCATTAAATTTCATTTCATTAAATTGTTCAATTTTCGGTGCCCTTCCCCCACTCCTGATCAACATTCCAGTGCTCATTATTATTATTATTATTATTATTATTATTATTATTATTATTATTTCCTTTGATTACTGGTATGTACTCATTAGAGAACTTTTTTTTTGTATTTCTTTAAGACATGAGCTACCAGGAATCCCTTCAATGAATCTATTGGAATCTTTTCCAGTCAATCCGAGGGTTCCAACTACAACTGTAATTGTTGATGTTCTCCTGTGTCACATTTTTGACATTTCGATTTCAAGGTCGTTGTATCTTGATAGTTTTTTGAACATTTTCAAAGATACATTGCAGTCTGCAGGGACTGCCGTGCCAATAAGGAGGCACTTTTTGTCTTTGCTGTCTCTAATCACGATGTCTGGGCGATTAGCTTTTGATTGTTCTTTCTATATGTATTTTGAAGTCCCATAAAATTGTTACAGGTATTATCTCCGTAACCGGTTCTGGGTGGTGTTCATACCACTTTTTTGCAGTATTATTATTATTATTCTCCTCCTCCTCCTTATTTATGTCTCGTTCCCTTCAGGACGTGTATGATGGACATGGAATTCTCCAAAGCATTCTACCCCTTGCGGCCCTTAGTAGCGTTTCTCCCTTTACTAAGCATCCTACCCCCGTTCCGCCATCCATTCACACAAGCTCGTCAGGTACGTTTTACGCTGCTTTCCCTTGCCACTCTTGCCCTCAATATGCCCTGAGATAGTTATGTTTTCAAAGTCTTCTTTCCTCATTATATGTCCAAAACATTTCAGCTGCCTCTTCCTGATTCTGAGTAGATGTGTTTTTTTGTTGCCATTTTCTTTGACACTTCCTCACTCTGCTCATGCAATTTTTAGTATCCTTCTGCAGAACCAAATTTCTGTTGCCTCCAGTTTTCTCTTCACCTGTGGAAAGATGGCGATAAGGAACATTTTTCCACTAGTGAAACCTATTTTAAAGCATATTTTTGATATTAGACGAGCATTAATTTTGATTATTTTATCGACTAAAATACAACATATTCTTGGATATCGTGTTCATTTACAATTATGCTCATCTGGCACTAAAAATATCTTGAAATATGTTCCACTCGTAGAACAATGGGAATTAAAAAATTAAACTTAACAAGTGAACAGATTTAAATATGCGTTGTATATTCAGTCATAATTTTAATCAAAACAATCTTTAAAAGGCAATTAACACACAATAAAGAGCTGTGTAAACTACAAAGACACACTCCTAAGATTTCCTGAACATTAAAGAAAAGATGTGCTATAAACTTTTACGCAAATTTATTATTATTATTTTTACAAAAAAAAACCCCCAAAAAACAAAGTGCTGAGTAGACTTCAAAGACGTTTCTGAGGTTTTCCTGATGCTGTGCAAAAGATATCGTTGTGAAATTTTACATCAGCTATTTATTTTTTCATTTTTTTTTTTTTTTTGAAAAGATAAGTAAAAGATGGCGCTGGAAAAATTTGCATAAACATTTTTTAATTATTTAAAAAAAAAATAAACAAAGTGCTCAGTAAAACTTCAGTGACACTTTTCCTTAAGACTTTCTTCTTCTTCGACTTCTTTCTCCTCGTCCTCTTCTTCTTAAAAAGTCTCTCTTAAATCTTCCTTTTGTGTCTTTACCGCGATTTCTTCTTTTTTGTCTTCTTCTAAATGCTTATTTTTATTCCTCTTCTTCAAAAATAAATGAAAAAATATTTCTTACATTTTCTTCTCATTATTATTTATTCTTCTTCTTCTTCTTCTTATTATTATTTTTATTATTATTATTATTATTATTATTATTATTATTATTATTATTATTATTATTCTTTTTCTTTTTTTCTTCGTTTTCTTTTTCAAAAACCTCTCCTACTCCTTTCATTTGTGCCTTTACTATTATTTCTCCTTTTTTCTTCTTCGTTTTATATACTACTATTACTACTACTACAATTTCTATTTCTGAGATTCTCATAAAATCTTGGTATTTTGACACGTGTGAATTTTAGCAGTTGCTTTTACGTTCTAATCCGCAGCTTTCACCAATGCCATGGCATTTATAAATTTGCAGTTTTATTGTGCATAACTTGTTGCACTCACAGAACATTACTTTGCAAGTAACAGTGCCAACAATGGCTATGCAATGTGGCATTTCTAAAAGTTTTTTTATTGATTCATTTTCGACATAGCATAGAATAAGACGAATCAGTTGTGCAAAATAGATACTTGCAAGAGTTACCAGCGTTCGCTGTTTTCGAAACCAAGAGAATGAATATTTGGTTGAATACCAGTTTTGAATGTTTTATATTCAGTGTTCATTCCTCTTGGTTTGAGAGTAGAAAAACACAAATGGAAAATGTCAGTAAACAAAATACACAAGCGACACTGCATGTAGTTTCTTTTCAAGTTGGGGTAAGACAACAGCAGAAACGGAGAATACGATGAAACCTATGGGGGTCAGTTTGGTTGGAAACAGTAGGTGTCATGAATGGTTCAAGAAAGGTTAATTTGACATGGGATACAAACTCATAGCTTAGATGCGGCACAAGACCGAAAGTATGAAGCACCCAGTGAGGATCGAACTCATTACTCAGTCGTAATTGATCTAGCAAGACAAGCTTTCTAAGCATTACACCACGTTGAGGTGCCCAAACCTCGCAGTTATAAACCACATGATTTGGAAATTACGCAATGAACACTGAAATTGGTTGAGAAACTTATAGATCACTGAAAATTTGTAAAACTTGTGATGTATGGGGAACGTTTAAAAAAACAAAAATATATATTCCACATGAATTGTCAGAATGAAGCATTGGACAACGTTTCAGATCCTGAATTGTATTTAACCCAAAATACGAATTACAAATTGGAGAGGCCGAAATCAAGCAAGTACAAAAATGTAAATATGTAGGAAGTCTTTTAACAGAGGTTGAAATGTGTGACACATAATGAAGAAAGAACGCTTAGATAATTTGAAACACACAGATAAATATTGAAGGTAAGAGGGACAGAAATAACCTACTTAATGAGCATGTGTAAATGGTTGTCAGAACGGGGATTAGGAGAGAGAGAGAGAGAGAGAGAGAGAGAGAGAGAGAGAGCAAAAAGACAAAATTCACTAAGAGCTATAAAGGACAGGAAATTATGGAGACCCATTATCTCCCACGTTCTGAAGAGACATGGCACATAAAAGAAGAAGAAGAAGAAGAAGAAGAAGAAGAAGAAGAAGAAGAACTTTTAAAACAAACGATGGATAGGTCAACAGAACTGGCTCCTTAACCATTATCCCATGCGCGTCTGAAATGGTTAACGAACTAGCTAGTCGGTTCTCACTGGGTGTCCCATAATTCTGGATTTATTAAAATAATAAAATCAAGAAGGGGGGGAGAGTGTAAGGAAAAGAGCGATAGAGAGAGTTGGAAAAACGAGCGTTAGCTTAAAAGACAACCATGAATAGCTTTTCTTTATGTTATCTCAGTTACTCCTCCTCCTCCTCCTCCTCCTCCTCCTCTCTCTCTCTCTGATCATATATGGCCTGGTGCTCTGTCTATATATCTCAAGATTCTCGATAAAATCCCCCAAAATATCTGTAATGTTATCTGTTCTAACATGGCATCTTGATTTCATTCGTCGTACGACCACATCACGTTGAAACCAGAGTTAAGCAACGTTGAGCCTGGTCAGTATTTAGATAGGTGACTGTTTGGATATACCAGGTGTTGTAAGCTTGGATGTGCGTCTGGTGTTATGGATAATTGTTCGAAATTGTTATTCGGAGAGCCGAGTTCTAATCCCTGTTAGGTTCGTTATATTTACTTACCCGCAAATACTCTTAGGAAAGATATAAATTCACCTTTTCTTCCTTCAGATATGGATTAATTAGTAAGACTTTATCAATAAACAATTATTATCTCCCAAAGCTTCTTAGAATCTAAAAGTATTTTCTGGCTTTAAATAACCTGCAAAGCGTTCGTTGATAAGCTGTAGAAAACAAATCAATCTAAATAAATCGACTTAGGTCACTTTCCCACCACCGTGACGTGGCGCCCCCTCTGTCTTTTCTATAAATATTTTCATGGAAGTTCCTCTCTTTGGTAACGTAACCGCAAGAATTTAAACGTACTACTGGACTGGCAACTAGGTCTCACTGTTTTACTGTTGAACTAGTTATATGTAACCATATGTTCTATACTAATAGTTTCTTTTCTCGCACTTCTTACCTGGCGTCTTGGGTATGATGATAAACTACGTCCGCGTCTTGGGTATGACGATAAACTACATCAGACAGCAAGGCTTCTGATCAGAAGGTTTTGAGGAGCGTGGAACCACCTCTTAATTGTTGGTGTTCCCAGGTTTACCCTGACCAGGGGTGACTGCACCTGTTAGGGTCCCAGCTATGGACAAATAGCTGACCCCAAACTGTGGTCAAACTACTATGAAAGTGTAAAAATAGGTTTTAATACCAGCAATATATTTTTTATAAAAGATTATTACCAGCGATACATTTTTTGAAAAAATTACCAGCAATATATTTAAAAAAATATTATTAGCAATAATTTTTTGAAAAAAAAGTAAAAAAAATTATCAGCAATTCATTGTTTGAAAAAATATTTCTAGCAATACATTTTTTGAAAAAAAATATTACCAACAATAAAAATCTTGTTAACATTAAATAACCCATTAAAGTTGATATGCCGTAAAACAAACCAAACCAAACCAAACCAAACTTCTCACCTGTGGAAGTTTCTTTTGGTTCCTTGTTTCTCTTCCACCGACAGCTCTCAAACATTTAAATGCAACGTCAATCACCATCTTCTGTCTTCCTGAAAACTGTTCTTTTATTGTCCTTTCTCCTCACTGATGTTTTCTCTCTCACACCCAGCAACCCCTTGCTTTTTAGTGGCATTATTGCCTTGCTTGGGGTGAAATTATTTAAAAAAAATAGCTTGTGTCTCCTACACTTCAGAAATATCTTTGCTTGAATACTGTTTTCAATTCTCATATTCATCTCTTTTAATGATGGACCACACGTTTTCAAATTAGATTAATAGCTGGAGAGTATGGAAGTCATTCTATTACTTTAATGTTAGTGAAGGATTTTGGGGAGATGGTGAGCAATAGTCGGCTTTGTAGCATATGAAGGAGCATTGTCGTCTGTAAATATGATTTTCAACTCAATATCTCTTTGTTATGATCTGTATAATTCAAAAACGTTTTGTCAAAGAACATAAAATAATTCACCTATTTTGAAGAGAAATATGACCTTACTGTCTACAGTGCTAATTTAAACGTTATTTGGCATCTTGAGATGTAACACCTAAGGCCCTGCCCCTGCCTCGCAAAATTGACATTTAATATTATAGTATTATGGCGTTAGGCTAGCGATAAGTACTGGTAATCCATGGCGTCTAGTAAACAATACGCTATCCCAAAGGTCCCCAACTTTTGGGGGATCATGCCACACCTAAGCATCGCTAAAATCCTGATGCACCCCACTCTGTGACATATAATTCTTATTATTCAAAAAGTGAACTCCTATTCACGTGGAGGAAACCTAAAGGCCATTAGCTTAAGAACTTGCGTAATTACACTCGTATATCCATAGACACAAATATTTTCATATATGCATAATGTATATGCACCATATGTATTAATTCTCACACACACTCATATTCACATAAATTCACTAGAAAAAAAAATCACTCATTCTCGAACTGCTACCCGCCCCCCAAATCAAATGGTCCCCGTGTGGCGTGCACCCCACTTTGAGAAACATGGCGATAGCAGATAACCCTCTTTCGCACATAAGACTAGTGAAATATTGCGAGCTGTTTCTTTGGGGAAAAATGGGGTTATATATCAGTGGTGGTTGTACTTGTCTATTTAAGGAGTCACATATGATCAATTCCAGACTTTTGACAGCCAAAGATATAAGCATTGTTCTGTAAATCTTACCAAGCTGAAATGATTTTAAATTCTGTGCCTGACGCCGTTCCTTGCGTGAAAGAACAATGCCTCATTCAAATCTAGCATTAAAATTAAGATTTAAATTATTAGATACTTTTATTAAACAAGAAAATGAAATTTACGTTTTAATCAAATAGGCAGTCGCAGTTCAGACTCAATAAATAATTATTAAATTTTATTTTTCTTATTTTACCTTTAGGTCAACTGGGATAAGAAAAGGGGGTTCTGTCAACATGTTCACGAGCCTCACGTTAAATGTCGAATAGCCGCATGTTGTTCCTGAGCCGCAGTTTCACCACTCTTGTCATATGCCATTAAACATGTCGAATACGTGAATAATATCAAACGACCCAAAATCACGGAGATGACGAACAGACGAGCAGAATTCACTAATAAAACAAATAATCGCCCAAGAATTAACGATATAAAAAGAATATGTGACTAGGAATCACCTTTATAGCAAATACACGATCAAGACTCACCAATTATTAAAAAAAAAAAAAAGAAATAGACGACGGAAACTTCAACATGATGCAATGGTTAGCAAGCGTGTCCCGCTAAATCAGTTTAGTCAAGGCAGAAGAAATGTTGTTCTACAGGATGCACTGAACTCGCGAGAAAGGAAAATGGAAACAAAAAGACACTTGTACTCAGAATCAGAAAGAAGCAGTTGAAATTTCTCAGATACATAAGGAAGAAGGAGGGCTTGGAGAACTGGACAATCACAGGACATATCGAAGACAAAAGTGCAGGGGAAGTCATCGGGCCATCTACCTGACGGGCTTCTGTGATTGGATGATTGAACGGGGAGAAGCTTGACAAAGGGACAAAAATTGCTAAGACCTACAAGGGGTGGTAGGTTGTAGTGAGACATGGTCGCCAATATCCTGGAGAGACTCGGCACGTAAAAATAATTTCAATCCACACTGGGTATCCCATACTTACGGCTTTCATGTATATCTAAGCTACGTTTAGTAAGTCATTATAAAAGTAAAAGACCAAGTATCACCGATATACCAAATTGATGACCAAGAATTATCGATATAAAAAGGACGACCAGGAATTATTGATATAGTGTGGATATGCAGGTGGTGTAATGAATAGTGCTTCAGAATGAGAACTCAGAAAACCGAGCTCGAATTCCAGTTGGACTCATTACATTCACTTACGCGCAAATACCCTTGGGAAAGGTATGAATCCATATCACCCTAAATTATAGGTTAAATAGTAAAACTTGTATCTGTTTATTCTCAAAAATTGTCAAAGCAATATTCACTCGCAAAAAAAAAAAAAATGTTACAATTTAAATGTTTCGGGTTTAAATAACCCAGAAAGTGTTAAGTTGTAAAAACCAAACGAATGCTGATCTAGTGGCGAGAAAACTGAACGATATACAATGATTTTATTTGGGTGTAAATAAAATCCACACTTTGACACATGCAGTAAGTAAATAAACTTTTACTTATCGTAGTTATAATTGCAGCCTTATACCAAACTTTCATTGATACTAAAAGTAATCGGCTTTCAATGACTAGCACAGCGGTTGGCAACTTAACACCTAGATACTAATTATATAATTCATTTGTGGAGCAAGTGGCAGAAAAATATCAGTTGCAGTTAACCGACTTATATGCGATGATTTTTTTAAAATCAAAATTTAATTCGGAATCCACTGCTGACTTCTACAGGAAATATATTTTGCCAAGCGGAAAAATATATAAGTTTATTAAATAATGAGAAAAAAGATGGCATCATTATTTGAAACTACATATACTTGTGAACAACTTTTTTCGAAAATGAAATATACTAAAAGTCGTTTAAAAACAAGGTTGGGTGATGATCACCTGGATGATGTTTTTCTCTTGGCATCGACAAATATTTTACCTGATGTGGAGAAGTTGTCGAACAATAGCAGAAACAAGTTTCTCATTAAATAATTTGCCACTTCTAACTGTATTTCGTCTGTAGTAAGGAATTTTCATTTTTTTTTTTTTTTTGCTGTTGTTGATTGTGTTAGTTATCCTGTTATTCCTGCAGTAAAATAAGGAACCTTGTTTAAATAATATAACATTACCTTCGTTTTTCTTTTCTTTAAATCTCCAGGCCAAGGCAGTTTTCTGAACGGAGCGGTCGAGACAATTTATTATAATACATTTGATATGATGGCACTCTGCATAGCTTTCTGGTCCGCTCTCTCCAAGAGCTTGTCGTCCCCTGAACTAGCAGTTTGATATTGGTTTTTTACACTTAAGGCACTGGGAAACATAAAAACAAGATGGCGTAGGAAAATCGGTAAAACAGAAGAAGAAATATTTTCATAGAGAATACTGCCTTGGTCCTGAAAATTAAAGTCATGGGAAAAATAAACTATTGTTATATTTTGTTGTCGACTATATTTGAACCTTGTATAAGATGGCAAAAATCCGTTATTGTAAGGTTCTTACAGATTTTACAGAGAAAAAAAGGTATTTTTGGCGATAGAATGTTTAAATTAATGTTTTTGTAATGTTTAAAAGAAAATCTGCTTGAGAAGGTTTCGGCATCTACTCTGTGTGTTATACATCGCAATTTAGAGAGATAAGTATTGCCAAGAGACAGGAGTTAATGCATGCATGGCTGACAGAAGAGAGTGATTAGAAGAGGTGCTAGAATATTCTAGAGCCTAGCAAAGAGGTTAAAAATATTTTGATGTTTGGTCATCTGTTTAGATTTTGGGATGTGGTCTGACAGAGAACTTTTCATCGCCTCTTTATATAATATAGAGAGGACTGATTATATTTTTATGTATAATGTTAAAAAATCGATTTAGTAACCTCTTCTATTCTCAGAATGCAATTCTTCTCAGTGCCGTCCGTCCTCAGGACGTTGGCGATCATGACTCTCCACAATTTCCTGCCCTTTATAGCTCTTAATAAATAATCTTTTTATTATCGCTCCTAAAATTTGTTATGCCATCCATTAACTAGGTAGGCCATGCCTCGTTTTCATTTGTCCCTCTTTCCTTTAATCTGTCTTGAGTATCAAATTTTCTCAGCCATCTTTCATCATTTTGTACCTGAGAAATTTCAACTGTTTCTTACTGATGTTAAGTGTTCTTTTTGTTTCCATTTTCTTTAAAACTTTGTTGTTGTTCACATGTTCGGCTCATAGTATTCTCAGCATCCTTCTGTAGAACTACATTTCTGTTGGTTTAAGTTTCTTCTTCTGTGATGAGATTGTCCAGCACACATTGCCATAAAGGAGGGCAAATATCAAAGGATAGGAAGTTGTGGAGAGCCATTATTGCCCATATCTTGAAAGGACATGGCACATAAAAGAAACCTCACTGCCACCTAAAAAATTGAGAGCCCAGTCTACCCTGCAATTTTGCCAATAGCTGGAAGAAAAAGAAATGGAGTCTTGTTTGTTCCCAAAGACATTTGTGTGATGTGATGTAGACGATCATGGCTTTCCATAACTTCAAGCCTTTGTAAGTCTTGTCTTTTTTATTTCTCCTAAATCCTGTTCTACCATCCATTTACTCAAGCTCACTTGTTTAACTCTGTCTTGTGAGTATTAGATTTTCCAAGCCCTCTTTTCTTATTTTGTGCCTGAGAAATTTCAACTGTTTCTTACTGATGTTAAGTATAAGTTCTCTTTTTGTTTCCATTTTCTCTAAAACTTCGTTGTTGTTCACATGTTCGGCTCATAGTATTCTCGGCATCCTTCTGTAGAACCACATTTCTGTTAGTTTAAGTATCTTCTTCATCTGTGATGAGATTGTCCAGCATGCAATGCTATATAAGAATGCTGATATTGAATTACTGTTCAGTACTCTTTTCTTCGTTTCTAATGGAATGTTTGTGTTTCAAAATACTTTGCTTGGCTTTTGGGAGGCATCTTTCGCTATCCCAATGCATTATCGGATTTCAGTGTCGCTTTTTACGGTCTTTGTAAAAACATTTACCAGAAATTTGAATTGCTGTACTTGTTTGATTTTAGTATCACCAATTTGTAATTTGCATGTTTGGCTTTTCCTTTTTGCTAACAACCAGGCATTCTGTTTTCTTTCAATTTGGGTTTAGTCCTATCTTCTCGCTTTCCTTGACTACCTTCTGCTTTCTTCCGGAAGATAGATAATTATTTACCAAAACATAGATTTAATACGTATTTATTAAGTAGATTAGTCTGACTCAAGACCATTATATGGGGAACCTTGTGAGAATCGATCACATTACAATCGTGCTAAATTTAAGAACGTTAAATTACCTCCTCGGTTATCCATTGAGACTGCTATCCACCGAAAATAAAGAAACCAGTCCCGACTGCGGACCATTTAAAAGACAGTTCGTGCAGTGGATTGGTTGTTACAAACATCCAATCGGGTGTGCGGGAAACGTGGTCTATCTTCGTCTAATACATTAAAAGGGCTAGAGTATCTGCTAGCGTTTGATTGCGAGGGGGAATCAGGGATTGATCTCCCCTGATTGGGTCGACTTGGCGACGGGGTGTATGATGTTGAAAGACCCGAAACTCCCTGATGAACCAAGTCAATTAACATCACTGACGACTCCCTCCGGCGCCTACTTAAGAGCTTGTATTTGAATATTGATTTGGTTGTTAAGCATTGCAACATTATAAGGCGACCATGTTAATAGAATTAATATATTTGTGTAGATATGTAAATGATTTTCAAAAATAAAATCTTACATCTATCGATTTAAATAAGGCGTGCATTGTCATCGAATATCGATGGATTACCTTCAGGAACGTCTATGTGCGCCTGCGTACACTTCTATTCGTTTTTTGTTTTGTTTTGTTTTGTTTTTGGCCACAACTCAGATTTCTCAAGCTTTCTTCGCTTATACTGCTTTATTTTTTTATTTTTACTTCGCAAAGAGCTTTACCTGCCATTAAAAAAAATCTTCCCTGTATATCGGCATTCGTTCTGCAGATGGACCAGGGTGCATTCCTCACCTTAATTGCAAATTATAACTGCTATTTTTTCATCTCTTCCTGGCAGCATTCACAAAGCAACAAAAAGTGAACGGGAAACTTAGAAAGAACAGTAATGAACTAAAAAGGTAAGAAAAAGAATGAAAGCTCACAGTGCGTAAATAACAGCAAATATTCTGATTGATCTAAAAATAACCTTTATCCCTAATATGAGTTCTAAATGTTATTACTGTCTTCTTCTTGTACATTTATTGCTGGGCGTTGTCTGCAATTCGAATATATCGTTGCTTTTTCTTTCGGTGTGAATTCCAAAAGTATTGCCCATTGACATTTTTTTCCTTCATTCTCCTCTCTGTACCTAACTTGTTTCCATATATCCCATTCTTTGTCTCTGTCTCCCTTCATTTTTTTTTCTCGCGTTCTCTAACACCTGACTTTTTCTCTCTTTTTCGTCTCGTCTCTCGCTTCCTCTCTCTCCCTCTCTCTCTAAGACATTTCTACTTTCTTTTCTCCCGTTTCCTTGTTTCTTCTTCCTTTTTGTCTCTTCTTTTTTCTTTCTTTCTTTCTTTCTTTCTTTTCCAAAACTTCATTTTTTTCTCGCGTTCTCTAACACCTGACTTTTTCTCTCTTTTTCGTCTCGTCTCTCGCTTCCTCTCTCTCCCTCTCTCTCTAAGACATTTCTACTTTCTTTTCTCCCGTTTTCTTGTTTCTTCTTCCTTTTTGTCTCTTCTTTTTTCTTTCTTTCTTTCTTTCTTTCTTTCTTTTCCAAAACTATTTCTCACTGACTTTTCCCCGTCAACCTCTCTCTCTTTCTCTCTCTCTCTCTTTCTCTCTCTCTCTCTCCTAAGTTTTCCTATTTCTCATTCTTCGTCTTTTTTCTCTTGTCTCTTCTCTCTAACACCTGCTCTTTTGATCTTTTTCTCGCCTCCTCTTTTTCTCTTTCTACTTCCTCTTCTCTCGTTTCACTCTCTCTACTTCCTTCTTTTGTCACATTTTTTTCTCTCTCTTTCTCTCTTATCCCTTTCTTCCACACTTATTTTATTTCTTGCTCTCCCTCGATCTTAGATTTATCCACTTCTCTCTCGTTTTCTATCATCTTTTCTCTTGTCCTAGTCTTTCTCTTTATTCTTTCTGTATCGCCTTAGCATTTTTCTTCTGTTCTCTTTATGTCTATCTCTTTCTCTCTCAATCGTTCCTCCATTATTCTCTCGCTTTCCCTTTTATCTTTCTCTGTCGCTATATGTTCTCGCGTTCGTACCTCTTTGTCTTTCTCTCTTCTTTCTCAATTTATTTCTCTTCCTTCATTCTTGCTCTCTCTTCTCATTTTCTTTTGCCCTCTTTTTACTTTTCTCCCCCTCTCTCTCACGAACACACTGTTTCCATTCTTCTATTTTTTGCCCTTCTTCTTTTCACCTTGCTTTCTATCTTCTTTCTCTCGCTTTTACACGCCCTTTCTCTCTCACATCTTCTTTATCTCTTTCATTTCTTTATATATTTCATTCTTTCTCGATATCTCTATCCTCTTCTCTTTCTTTTTCTCTTTTTCGCTCTTTAGCGCTTTTTCTTCTCGCCTCGTCTTCTTTCTTCTGTTTCTCTTTTTTTTTTTTTGCTCATTCCACTCACTTTCTGCTTTCTCCATTGTCATGCTGTCATCTTCTTCATTTCATTTTTTTAAGACATGCAGCGTCTTCACTGAAGTGTTTAAAAATGACATGTCAATTGCAAAATGATAATTTGTCAGAACAAACAGCATTGCTTTTATTTATTTATTTATTTATTTTGTTTTTGGGAGGAGTCGACTTTTTTTTTTTGATTGTCTTACACCGCTAGCCTCATTCTATCTTCCGAGATAGTTTCACCAAAAATCAAACAGCTCCCCAACTTCCCTGAAATACAGATCCGTAAACATCTAATGACCCAAGCTAGGTCGAAAAATTACCCAATTTCTTCTTTTATGTACTTTCAGGACTTGGACGTTTATGACTCTCCACAACTTCATTGCTTTAAATAACCTTTGCCTTTTTTTTTATTTTCCCTCTTTATACTGATTTTGCCACACATTCACACAGACTCTTCAAATAAATTGTTCATTGTTTCACGCTGTTTCTTTTGCATTCACTATGTCCTGTGAGCGTTAAATTCTCCAGGCACTCTTTCCTCATTAAATGCCCCAGAAATTTCAGTTATCTCTTTCTTATGTGAATAATAAATGTGTTTTTTCTCTAAAACTTTATTGTTACGCACATGTTTTCTTTCTGATTGTAAATATCAGTTTCCTTTTACTTCCTATTTCCCTTTGAACTTCCTCATTGCTCACATATTCTGTCTATGATATTCTCAGCATTTGTCGGTAGAGACACGTCACTGACACTTCAAGTTTCTCTTTCATCTGTATTTACTGCCGTATGGGAGATGGGAGTAGCAGTACAGGACACTTTACTTTGTTGCCATAGTCATTTTCCTATCTCTTAATACTTTGCTTCATTTTTGAAAGACATCTTTCGCTATTCCTATGCAGATTTAGATTTATGTGTCACACATTTCGTCTACCCAGTTAATTAAATTTCTGTATCTGCTTGACGTTCCCAATATGTAGCTCACAAATTTGGTAGTCTCTTTTGCTGACAACCGTGCATTTTATCATCTTACAGTTAATAGTCTTTTCTGCTTGCCTTCCTTTATTATCTTGTCTAAGAGTCCTTTCAGTTTTACCATCAATACAATGTCATCCGAGTATCTTATGTTGCTAAGATTGTGTTCGCCAATAACAAATTCGAGTAGGTCTTCTCGTTTTGTTAGGATCATCTAGCTATATAGATTAAATAAATCTCGGTGTAAAACGTATTGTTGTTTTGTTTTTCTTTGTTTTTTCTGGGCTTTTTTAAAAAACTTGTCCACTATCCGCATATGAGTTTTTTGTTCCCAGTAAAGGCTGCAGGTTAGTTGAATATCTTTCCATCGTCAAATCAAAATTCTTATGTATTTCAAGTAGGTCTTTTTGCTATACCATAACAAGTGTCTGTGAAATCTATGTAGCGTATATATTGATATCTTAGAATTCGCATGGCTCGCTCTAATAGCATTCTGATGATAAAAGTCCTGGGTATGACGATGAACTACATCTGGCAGTAAGGATTCTGATCGGCAGGTTTTGAGAAGCGTGGTACCATCTCTTAATTGCTATTGTTCCGAAATTTGTCCTCACTCAAGGTGGTAGCACCTGTTAGGGCCCCAGCTATGGGTAATTACTGACCCCCCCATTTTAGGGTCAAAATATTAAAATATAAAAATACATCAGAAAAAAATCCCATTTACATTGTTCGAACCGTTGCCCTCATCTTTATTGTCATATTCGTGACGTTTCGGCCGTTGTACACTCCGGCCTTCTTCAGATGATATACATTGGAATTTCGAACTGAATTCGTTATTTAGTCCGAATAATGTAAACAGTGCAAATAGTAACAATACCTCACCTCAGAAATATAGACAAAAATTATCAGCAATACATTTTCATAGTAAAAAAAGAAAAAATTACCAGCAATACATTAATGGAAAAAAATTAAAAACAATTAGCAAACCTTACAAGAAAATAAAATTTCGGCATTAAATGGCCCATAAGGTGTTGATATGCCGTTAAACAAACAAATCAATCCTGATAATAAAAATATAATTTTTTGTTCTCATGTCTTAAACAAAACTACACTGTTCTTGTTCTATTCCTGGTCTAATTCTTCTACAAGCTTTATTCATTAGACTTCTAATATTTAGTTATCTAGATTCTAGTTCATCAAGATAATCATGGAGTTTGGATTCATTAGTGCCTGTTTTTTATTGATATCTTTTTGAAGGACTTCCGGTATTTCGCTGCTGCCGTAAATTCACTTATCACTTTGGTACCTTATCGTGCCCAAAATAATTAGGTTATACAAAATGACCAGAGAATCTCAGGGAATTAATTAGCAACTTTTTTTCCCGTATCACCGCCATGCAAGTTAGTAAAGCTACAAAGATACAAGGCTTACAGAGTGTGGAAGAGAATTAGGAACAGAAACATTAATAATGAGCGGGAAGAGGAAAGAGTAATAACAAGGACAGTAGATAGCTATTGACATTGCATTTAAATTTTTGCAGATTAATTTTGGGTAGAAACCACGGAGCCGGAAGGGAGTTCCACAAGCGATAAGTGCGAGAAAAGAAATTGTTAGCATAAAATTTATTGTTACATCTAGCCACCTCAACTGTAAATTGATGGGATCTTGACCCCAGTCTAGTATTGCGATAAATGAAAAAAGATTCTAGGTACCATAACGAAGAGCTCATCTGAACAACTACCATTAAAGCATTTATAAAAAATACACAGAAAGGCAGGTGGGAAAATGACTGAAGCCGAACCCCGAGATCAGGACCAATGATATTGATGATTCTTCTTTGGATTTTAGCAAAGAGATGAAGGTAAATATCAGGGTCACCGGACCATATATGGCAGCCATATTCTTAGCATGAACAAATGATAGACTTATTTTATTTTATTATTTATTTCTATTTGCACAACGCAAAACAAATGTAAATATAAGCATCCTAAAGAGGGTGGGGGACTAAGCAGGTGGAAAAAACGCGAGAAGCGACAGAGACAAAGAAAGAATAACAAAAATAGACTATAAAATATGATGTCATATGACGTCATTAATCCAAGCTGGTGAAATCTTCAAGGAGTAAACTGCATGATCCAATAGAAATGAAGCATATAAGCCTCAATATCGATATTTAATACGATGATGGAAGGAAGACGACAGCAAGATCCAGCATTCCGATTTACGTCAGAATTCATGGTATGGTGTATATAAATCATCGTATCCAATATTCGAATTTCATCTCTTTCGAAAATGTTTACGAGGAATAGATCAAGAAAGGCAATGAATTAGTGGTAGATGTGCGAATAACAACAGTTGTATGTTTTATGATGTCATTGTGACGTCATTCGATAGATATTAATCAGTGTTGAATAGAAACAAGCCATTTTCAGAAGGGTTGCTTCGTCACGGTGCAATACAAACCAGACTGAGATGACAGGTACATATGCATGTGCCAAGCTTTACTAGAAAGATTAGAATGCCACAGCTCATCTAGTTAAGTTGATTTTTTTAAATAATAGTAATGTTGGTATAGAAGTACTAGTCGGTGATGAAAATAGTGCGCAGGATTATAAGACTCCCCAACCAAAACCAAAAACCAAGAGCCACTCAAGGTAGGGGTTACTGAATGAGGTTGTTGTATGGGCGTAAATGGGGGAAGTAGGAAGATAATGAGGATAGATAGATGTTGACCCTAGACTTGAAGAAGTTAAGATCGTAGTGATCATTTTGGGAGTTTATTCGACAAAATAACTGTTGTGGTAGGATCCACCTAATTTGCATAGTGGAGTACCGACCATATAAATATGGTTGGTACCGGGAAGAGAGGGGGGAATCAAGAGATTCAACCAGAGACTCTGCCCGACTGCGACTCAGTCAACACATTCTCCAGGAACGGTCTTACCAGGAATATACAAAAGACTATATGTAAATATTGTGTACACTTTCTTGTTCAATACATTTTGTTCTAAGTACATTTTGTGTTGCATTATTATTCCATGCATTAGTCAAGTTTCAACAATAACAACTCTTGAAAAGAAGCTAGCTGAATGGAACTTCTTCTTTACCAATGGAATACGAAAGGAATGTGGTTGATTCAGTTGTTTGTATATGGCATGGCTGGTTCTAGCTGTGAGGGTTTGAACTGGTGGGAGTAAGGAATGTATCTCGTCCGAACATTTGCCATGGAAATAGCGATAGAGTAGCAATAGGTTAGCAACGTTTTCTCTGTAGGAAAGAGGATGTCGGGTGGAAAATAATTAATCACCCACAAGGACGGGTAAACGCTTTTGAACTCTGTTCAGGTCGTTAAGTGAGGATTGGGCAACTCCAGCCCAGATATGTATTTTCCTTCTCTTCGACTGGATTCTAGGATTAGGGAGCCGGCTAACCTGCTAATTAACCCATAATTAAGGGGAGGAAAGGTAGATTCAC